CTTTTAATAAATGGTAATTCAGAAACTCACACCAAATTTTATGTGTATCTTTCGAGTCTTTTAATGAAAGTAAGATACTTTCAAAAGAGACATTAAATATACCTCGGAAGTGGGTGTAATTGCAATATGAATTCAAAAGTTATGTAAAATGCTCCACAAATGACAAAGTTTGTTTGTTGTCTGCTTTGCAGTTGTATACAAAAAGATAAATACGCACTTTGTAGTATATTTGCCAATGCATAGCTTGATTTGATGTTGAAAAATTACGAGAACTGTTGCAATTTACCAAGAACACAACTTTGTAAACAATTCTACGAATCTCTTCTAAGCAGACAAAATTGAAATTTATCCTTCAATCTAAGAAGCAACAATTCCGATACAACAATCTATATAAGCCTTATCAAGATGTCCCTCGCACAACATCGCTCCCACTTAAAGCTTCTTGTTAAATTTGGATTTTGAGTAAGAGCTTTCATATTATCTTCCAACAGCGTTATATAGAACCGACCTCATTTGTTCGATTGCATCTCGTTAATTGATATATTCTGGGGAATCATATTTCAATGCAATCGATAACATTCAGTGGACGTAATGTGGGTGAGACTGAATGCGCTTTTGCCAAATGGACCACCAATTTAATGGGCTATTTGGTCCGAAATTTCACGGTTTGTTAGTTCAAATGTTTTTTCTTTCAATCATCCCATTAAGCTTCCGACAGAGCGATACGATTGCGCTACTGAGAGGAAGAAAAGGCGACGGGAAAACCTTTTTATAGGCTTTCCTTCTTTCATTCTTCATTCTCCCTCTTCATGTATTGATTTAGATACTGATATTCGTCTTCGACTATCGCCTCTTTGTCCGATGGAAATTTTCTGGAATGGCGAATGAGCCCTACTTCATGTGCGGTTCAAATAGCCCCGAAGAGATGAAGGGGAACTTTGAAAGTTGCTTGGGTTTGTAGTTTTCCTTTCTTATCCCTGAGACACATTCCACTCTCACTTTTACCATCCATTATAAACATGAGTGAGTTGGTGTATACTTTTGTTACCTTCTCCATAGAATTCTCCAGTGAGGCCGTTTCCAGTGTCATTGTTGCCGCCGAAGGAGAATGATAAAATAAAATGAGAGGCTATCGAGTGGGAAGTGCGAAGAAGAAGAAGAGAAATGTGGTCAAAGAGGAAATTTGACATATGAATAGTTGCAAGATGTGCTATCAATTCTGTGTCCTTCTTTTTCCCCTTTGTATGCCACACGAGCGCACATCAAGCAGTAACCCTTCTACAAATTAAGCAATAAATTACAACTTCACGATCATCTTTGGGCTCACAAAGTTAACATCTTGTCGAAATGGGGGGCGAAGGTTTTTGGGGGGCAAATTCTAAATAATTCCATTTAATTTAAGTTTTCTCGTGTCAGAGTTTTGTGATTACAATCGAGATCACGTTTTATTCAAATGAATCATTTATTTAGGGATTCACCGAGAAGCTCTTACAAGATATTTGGGGCACACTGGCAGGCCTCGTGGAATAATCAACAATTTGAGGAATTTCCACCCAAAACATCCACGTGGGGGATTGACGAATTAGGGCAAAAAAGACGAAGCAGAGAAGCAAAAAAGCTCGAGATCGTCGCACATTTGGATGGTAATGATGTGAAGAGGAGGGCGCAATTTCTTCCTAAAAGAGTTCAGTGGAAGAATGGTTTTAATGCTGCCAAAGTGGAATCAATATATTTTCAAATAATCTGCAATTCATTGAAATTCAATGCACGCCCATTTTTTCCTCCGTTATAAAATCTTTCTTTCGCAGATGCGTTAAGTAAAGTTTCTTAGAGAGGGAGGGGAAACTTAGGTATTTTAAAGGTTTTGCAGCAATTGAATGCGAAGTTAGGACTTTACATTGTTTATTAAAATATTTTGTACAATAACCAAATTATGATTAAGAGTAATTTGTCTAATTTCACGAGAATCAAAAATATCGAGAATGAAGTTTGTTATGAATTTCCAGAGAACAAATCATTTTATCCAACAGAAATGGTACTCATGTGCGACACAAAGCAGCAATTTGAACCCTTTCCAATGTGAATTGAGACACTTTTCCGTATGTCATCCACCCACTTAAACCACCCAGCAATTGTCCAATTTTCACCCAAACAGGCAGGAGTGAAAAGTTTCGTGTTTGCCGGAGGTGAAAAAGGTGAAATGGGGACAAACTGAAAGTGGAGCAGAACAATTTTTCATGTTTTAGCAGAGATTATTGGCAAATGTGGGGAATTTCAGCTACCGAAAGCCAATTCAGAACTCATGCATTTCCTGTTTGTTGAGCTTTTTGTGCAGGAATTTCAATTGCCATTCTACCCATCAAGCGTAAATGTTTTAAGGGGGTTTGGAAAAACTATCGAGTGTTGAAGATTTATCGTAATAAAATTCACGTGATTTCGGCTGAGTGCAAAACAGGAGAGAATAATAAATAACATGAGGAGTGGGTGAAATATATATAAAAATGGAAACTTGCCGAGGAAGTGGAACCTCAAAAAGTGAGCCCCAGCAAGTGAAACCATAGCCTCATTTCAGGAATTTGCAGGAAAAAATGCTGAATAGAATGAAAACAATTCACGTTATTTTTTCCCCTACAGGAATATGACAGCAATTTATGAAAACAGGCAGCTAAAATGGAAATACCATAAACAGCCACAGTGAGAATAATTAAACACTCAGTGATTATTAAAATGTATGAATGGGCACAATTTTTGCCTCCACAAAGTATGAATAATTGTGGGTGGCAGTGGGCCAGTTACCCACAGAAATCTACTCTGTGTGTGTGCTGGGATGTGAGAAATTTTTTAAAATGAACACTGCGGATACAATAAAAAATAATAATTTGGCGAAATTTGAGAGTGAGGATAGGAGAACGGAACTTTTTGCTTAATTTATCCATATAGCATAGTTTTGAATGGCTCTGTCGACAAATAAAAGTTCCATTAGATTTAATGAATCCGCAATTTATTTGCTATAACCGACAATTAAAACTGTATTTTCACAGTTGATTAACGGCTACGCAGCATTTTAAAATCGTTTCTTTGGTATAATTAGCAAAATATTCATTATTTCAAACACTTTTTTGGTACATATTAATCCCATTGAAAAAAATACGAGTCAGGCTGGGGCGTCGATGAATAAAATAAGGTGAGTGCAGTCGTGAATTGGCGTGCCTGTGAATAAAAGACGTGCACATCAGGTAACCTCTCTTCCCTTCGCACTGACAGTGCAGAAGCGGAAAATTATGCAAATTGGAGAATTGAGGAATGTTTTGAGCAGTCATACACAAAAGTGGAATAGTTGGTAAATTGGGTACGGCAGGCCTATTCATAAATATAGAGTTTGGCTAGTGTAATTATGATTTCAATGGTAGCAAATTCATCAACATTCTCACATACACACATTCACCAGCAATTTCTCTGTTTTCAACCAATAAAATGTTGACGACGAGGGCTGATGGTTCCTGCATGAAAGTGGGTTTTGTGTATGAAGGCATCTCCGTGTCTCATCAATTCATCATGATGATTTAATGAAGTATAATTATTAGACAGGGCCTTTTCTCTCACCACACATGCACTTCTCTCTTTGCATGGCAGTGTCAAGAGGGATGAAATTTGAGAGATGGGCCTCTCATAAAGTGGTATTTTGGTTTTAGGGCTACACATCATGATGTATGGGAATGTTTTGCCACTGGAATTTCCATATCAAAAAGACGATGATGGGTATCATGAAGAACGTCAAGTGTATTTCTCATATTTGATTCCATCTGCTGCCACAGCCGAACTGGCTTCAGAGCCAGAAGAGGAGTTGAAATTAATTGAGACGTACTTAAATTCAGAGTCGGTCGTCATCACTCAATTTCACATATAGCGTCTATATAGCGATGATGAGAAAAAGGTGTGGGAAGAGGAGCACAAATTTTCGCATGAGTGGTATTCATTGACATGATTTAATTGAAAGACTTTTATCATCCGTCCTCAAGTAGATTAACTCGGATTTTGGCACTCAATTTGAAGATTCTCTTGCCAACACAACATCATTTCACTCATATAATAGACAGTGAAGATGGTGGAATTTTCCACGAAATTTTCTGCGATGATTTACCTGACAAGAATTGGTGATTCATTTCCCAATCCAAGGTGAAAATAATGGAAAATTTGGAAGTCATTACAAGTTTTCTGAAGAAGACACTTCTTTCGCATATCTTTTGTGTGTTTTATACCACAAAAACACCCCAGAACAGAATTGCACTTGCAGGAAAAACATCAGCAATGCTCAATGAAATTTTCATTAAATTCAATTGCTGGCGCTGCAGTTACTCTTAATTGGAATTGAAATGAACATGGAAGTTTAAAAATGTAATTTGATTTTGTTCCATGTTTTTTTCCACATTCCTCGCTTCTTGTTTTCCACACACACAGCATCTCATGACGATCTTCTAATTAACCCAGAAACAGGACATTTTCCCCCAAGAACTTGCTCGTACTTTTGGCGGAAGTTCACAATCTTACTTTTACTGTTTCGTGTACATCATGCTAAACTTGTGCGTTGCTGAGCAAACATGTGCCCAGCTTTGCTTTTGCCAAAAGGAGGTGATAAGGATTGGGTTGATGAGGAAATTTGCGTGGAAACAAGTTTTGCAAGTCAACATATGACTTTGGTATATGTAGATGTGAAATCATCTTTAGACAAAAGAATTTTATCAGATTTCTTACGTGAATTCCTTTTGACACTGCCAGGAAAATGTTGTGTCTGACGCAGATTGAAAAACATATTACCTTTTTTGAGAGCTTTCTCTTCACATCTTAAAATGCTCAATGAGAAAGCGAGCTTTGCCAGCACAGTGAAAAAGTAATATTCATGGTGAAATGAGGAAACTCCCACACAGATTTATATCAATGCTCTCTTATTGAATGAATTCAACTGACTAATGAAGTTTTCCGTCTTTTGTTCGATTTTGCAGTGACAAAGTTTATTCGGATTGGAATTGCTGATAAGAACGACAACCCACCATACTTCGATAAAGCCCTCTACGAGGCTGAAGTGGATGAAAATGAAGACATTCAGCACACCGTTCTTACTGTCACCGCCAAAGATCACGATGAATGTAAGTTATACAATTTTGTTGCATTTCTAGTGCAGTTTTCCATCAAGTACAGAACTTGAGAGATTCTTTTCATGATTGATGAGTCCATAAACAAACAATGAAAGAGGGTTTAAAAATTAGTAACCACCTTTTCAGACCTCTTATGACCATCATCGAACAGTCATGGAATATTTTGGTCTTTTGTGCAGATTAACATATTGTTATTCCTTTATCAAAGCCTTTCGAAATAGTAATTTACATCTCCCTTGTCTGTAAAAATTATTTTCAACGTAACTTCGTTCGAATGGCTTAATTAAGCGAGAGAGACAATATAAGTAGTTGAAACAAAAGTTTAATTTTTTCTATCAGCACTTTCAAAGCAGACATTTTTATTCTAAGCATGCATGAGCGTCCATTGAAAGAACTGTTTTAATCTTTTTTCACAATTGAAAGTAAACTAAAAGGTGTGATGTGTAAATGCAATTAAAAGGTAATTTTTCAGGAATAAAAAGAGAACGCAGATTGAATTGTCATGTGCAGAGAAGAGTGCTATATTCAAGAGAAGAGGAACATACAATAGACTAAACAACACTGGGTGAATTTAATATTGAAATAATTGAATTTCCTCTTCAAATACAAGTTGTATGCTCATGCTAAACAAACCCATTCTGAAGGTTCTTCTCTACACATACAAACTGGCAAAATTGGCAAATGCAAATCATTGGGAAGTTGCTGTAACAATTTATTTGCTCTCTCCTCTTCACATAGAAAGTAATCTCTCAGTTTTGAGTTATCAAAACCTTTCTGAACATTTATCGTTTCGGGAAAAAATGGAAGAAGTGCTAGTAAATCCTCAGTTTGAGACGTGCCAGATGATCAAATGATAGCCTGAATTGAAAGTGGGTGGTGAAAAAGCGAAAGAGAATTCTCACACTCAATTCTTTGTGAGATGACTAAAGGACGTCAGAATATTTGATACAAAAATTTCTGATACAATTGAAGCGATAATCTATTTGCAATAAAATCTGAATTAAGAATGGATAAAAAATGTGAATGAATTACAAACTCCTGAGCTAATCAGCAGGTTTTCTGCTCCCGTTCACATTTTTTGCATAATCCAGAGGAAATCCTCCGCAAAATCCAAGGCAAGAGAAAGAGAGAGAGAGAGAGAGAGAGAGAGAGAGAGAGAGCGTAAAGAGAGGAAATCGCAAGGGAAATCCGATGAAAAAGCTCAGCAGAAGCTTTCAAAACTCATATCAGAAGAAATGGGAATAATAAATGGATAAAATGAGTGAGAGTCTAAAGCAGTTTTTTCCCCTCAGCGCAGATCTTTCTCACTGCCACACTTTTTTCCATCCTTGCGAAAAGATGGGGTGTTGGTGAAATTGGGTGTGGGGAAAGTAGAGGAAAACAGGGTTGAGAGCATAAAATATTTGTTCTCATTCGGAAAACCAATTTTATTTGTAAACATTTCCGACTCGATATAAATTCACGAGACATGAATTCTTAAAATTGTGCTCTCACCACTTCGACACCAAAAAGCTGGCACTTCACGTATTTTTTTGCCTACATCCATGACCGAGTCTTTCCAGTGAGCACTCTTACCTCACTTTCACGTCATCCTTAAAATACCTACCCAAGTTCAAAGTGAGTATTTGCAGAAGAGGCGGCACTCTCTCAAACGTATTTGAACTTGTGCCTTCCCAGAGTCTCTCAGGCCCGAAAGGTTGTTTAATATGTCGGAGCATACATACATATGTATAAATATGTATACATGTGAAAAAAATTGTTTTCTTCTTCACCTCACATGGCATCACATGAGATTGCCACAAAGTAACAGATAGTTTGTCGAAACATTCACCGCCCCCTGAGGGATATTCCTGCCCCAAATTCATGACGCATATTTTCTGCTCAATAAACGGAAGAGCGTCGCTATCGTGATTAACTTTCCCGAAAGCTTTTTGCATAGTTGAGCGATATGTTATCAAAAATTGACGATACAGCGAAGGCAATGCATGAAGCTTTTGAATTTTTTACGCTCATGGTTAAATGAAATCACAGTGCCGATGATCGTGCAGTGTTCGACCTACTTGTTTCACCATATTTGCTGACACCGAAGCTTTATTTCCTCTTGCTCTCAACAGCAAAACTCAGTGGATCGAAGTTGAGTTTGTTTTTTGGATATTCCAAGGGATTCAATCAATTTGTTGTTTGAATTTTCAAACACTAACAAAAATACATTTTCTAGAGAAAAAAAATCTAGGTAATTTCTCAACGGTCAATTGAGAAGATTAGATGAAAAATTTTAGCGAATGATTTGATCTTTTCGTATGAATTTGACACATATTGTTGCTTTCTGCATCATCCTGCATTCTATTTTGAGTATGTAAAGGAAATAGAATTCATTTTGAACTTCCAAGCTTCTCCTTTGGCTTTTGCATGGAAATTCATCATGTCTAGAGATTTGCATTGTGCGAGGTTCATGCATACATCCAATGATAGAACTGTCTATTGAATACTTGAAATTGTGCTTTTTATTAGAATTGGAAACGAAAAATTCAAAATACACTTCAGAATTTGTGAGAAAAATTTATTCCAGTCGGAGTACAACACAGAGGGTTTGTAAAGATTTTCGGTTTGTTATAGGATAATTTTAGTCCTGATTCTCCATGTCATAATATACGACATAATACATCGTGATTTGTTTGTTATTAGAAATTTGACTGAATACAGTTGGCAAAATTTTCAAATCATTGCGGAGAATTGAAGTGTGGCGAATTCCAGTGAATTCATAACTGAACAGGTGCAATGAGACTGCTTTGCAATGGTCCATTTTGCTCATGATGACCTCTCAATTCCCTGTTGATTACTCGCATTGCTAAATCCCAATGACAATCACCATGAAATATGCAGAGTGTTTTCACCCATTGGGTGTGAGTGGTGGTGAAAGTAGAAGATGAAGATGAGCCATAGCCAGAAGGCTGAGTATATTTGTTTTTGTGGTGTCACATGGCAAATTGGTGGGGAAGAACAAAAAGGGAAAAGGCACATGTGTGGAAGAGGATTATCGCTTTGTTTACCGTGCTATCGTCAGAGTTCAGGCATCATTTCAGGTTTCATCCTGTGAAGCCCCGTGAACTGATACGACGAGATAAACAATTTTCATACAAATTAAGTTAGAAGTCACACACACGCACCAGAGGATGGACCCAAAAACCACTGAGGCGTGTGCGTGCTTTGGGCTTTTATTGCAGAGGGGATCACTTTGATGGGCTTCCGCAGAGGCTTTTATGCGTTACTGCAATCACCCACAGTTTATTTATTATTTGTCCTCTCCATCGCGTTCTTCTTTTCCATAGTTGACTTGTGAGGATGAAAGTGTCTCTCCTTCGTGGATTTATACCATTGTTTGTCATTGACGCAATTTAAGAGTTAATTTAGTGGAAAATTTGATTTTTTTGCTGATACTAAATCGATTTATCGCTTATTGCCTCAAATCATGCCTTACAACCCCTTGTTTTTCGTCATGACTCCTCCAGCTCAATCGTGTCAAAGAGTGCTATATCAAGCCCCCTCCATCCATCTGTTCTCTTGCAATTTTCCACTTGATGAAAAGTTTAAGTAGAGTGTTGCCTTTTTTCTCCATTATCGCTGAATAGAGTCCCATTCCATTGGCAGAACCTTCCGACACTTTGGCAGCCATTTGAGGTCCTTCTCATTAACTGAATGTGCCCATAGGTTGTAAATACACAGGAGCCGCAAATAAAGTGGATGAACGTTTTGCAGAAAAAGCACACAACTTCAGTCCCAGTGAAATAATATTGTTTCATATAAAATGAGTGGATATTTTTGAAAGCTTTCTCTCTCTCTCTCTCTCGCTATCGGGACTTTAGAGTGGAAAATTCATGATGATTCCTACCTCTTTTCATGCCATACCACACAAAATTTAAGCACTCTTTCACAGTGAAATAGAGTCGCTTAATGGGAAATTGTGTCAAACAAATAAATCCACACAGTGACTTTTCTGCTTTCATTGCACAAAAATCCAACAAACATTTTCCCACAACAAAATGAATGCTTTCCTTCGCGGCTCGTATGATGAATGGAGATGTTTGCTTGAGAGAAATGGCTTGGTGTCACGATTGAAGCGAAGTTTTTCAATCAACATGCACAAATTGATGAGAAATTTGAGCAGTATAAAAGTATAATAAATTATGATACGGACACCACTCGAAAAACCATACTATATAGTGCATTTACTGCGAGGTGTCTATTGAAAAAGCTCTTCGTAAAAAGCCCATGTAAAGTTATATCTTTGTTCTCATAATGAACATAGAGTGGAAGCATTTTTTCTCACAAAATAACGACGGGAAAAAATGGGGTGTGAGAAAACAAGAATCACCAACTTCTCGCTTATTATTTTCCAACTTTATTGTTCCCTCTCCTCCCCTGAAGCTTTCTATCCCTCGCGCCGATGCTGTGGCTTTCGAAGTGATTGCAAGTAGGAAAAAAGCTTCCCTAAATAAATAAGACAGTTTCTTCGGAAATAACATACTTTTGCTGTATGCTTCCGAAATACGACAAGCAAAAAGCGATGTAGAAGTGGGAGAAATAGAGTGAAAAGGAGAGAGATTGGGAAAAGAAATTTTTGACTCGCAGTGAGGAAAAAAAATCTGAGAAAGAAGTTCTTCAGGGATAAAAATTGTATAACCATACAGAATATGGATGACAAGGGGAGCCTGCACAGCCCATGAAGATGGATAGAGTGGAAATTTCAATGGACTTCCCAACTTGGTAAATATGAGAGGGAAGCGGTGGGCGAATAGACAAAATGCCGAAAGCATTTCTCATACTGGTGAATTCATGCCAGACAATAGACATCGCGAGTGGGGTTCTCCTTTTATTCTTGTGCAAAATCGCGTTTGAATTTCTCTTCAACACCACTGCATTGCCAAGGGACTATGGCATAATGGATAAGTTTGTGTCTCTCTCGATGATGATTTTCCCACCTTATCTCATCC